CAGTACTTAGATAGGTAGTTTTGCAATACTAGGAAAGAGCTTATTGCGTTTCGTATCATAGTTAACAATTTATTAGACAAAGCTAAAACAGTTACAAACTTACATTCACGTCCATTAACACAAAAGATTGCCAAAACCTTATATAAATGTAGAGTACAAAGAAGTACACAAGAGGTCTATATTTATAAACCTATGCTTGGTTTAGGTAGATCTTGTAATCTCTAACAAGTCTCTATGAGACTCTATCAAAGATTTTAGCTTTTGCCAAGTCACATTAATTATTACTTTAGTACACGAGTTAAAAATTAAGTGGAGATTGATCAACGATGCTCACAAAAGTAAGATTGACAGTCGAATGAAGTCAAAAGCCTCTTGTTACTTCGCACCTTTGACATTTATCACAACTAACGTGAGAAAACTTTCCTATAAATGCTTATTTGAAAGCGAAACGCACTCCTAACCAAAAGCTGCAACATAAAAAACACATATTCAAAAATTAAGTTACGTATTTGCATTGAAATGCTCATAATTAAGATAATTCGTCAATGAATTAACCGAGCTTCATTAGGGTTCACTAAATCACTGGGTGACAACATAATTAAACACAAAGTAGTTGTTGCAGTTATAAACGATCGCTTGCCAGTCAAAGGCGGTGTAACTAATGATTAGTGTCAGTATACATGTCGTGTCATGGGGCTAAACTTTAACTAACGCGTACTATACTAAGCAAATTATGCATTCAAAGCCTATTCATGCGGACAGAAGACCAATACAATGAGTATCTTTGTCAATAAATGATTGAACCCTGGTATCGAACATGAAATCCTTTGTTGTACGAAAGGCTAATCTTTGAAGTTAAAAGCGAATTTCCTTCTATGTTGACAATGACGACATGATTTATGCAATTAAAGCTATTGTGTGCAATATGTATGACATAGTTAGATGGGTCCATATGACAAGTTGAGGTACGCCTACAATTACTTGGGGGCTTCGGGTCAATTTAATTTTCCTTAAAAAGTTATCTAATCGCGATTTAAGTTTTGTGGCAGTTGTGACCTACTAAATCACAAATCACATTGCAAAAAATCATATTGATTGAATTATTTTAATAACTAAAGATTTAAAAATGCAAGTAGATAATAGAGGTAGATACTCTTTCTATTAGACTCAATCACGGTGATTTATTGTAAAGTTTTTCCTATAACAAATACATATTTTGGAAACGATGTAACTAGCTATTGATATACATACTTCACTGTCACTGATATACATTTCATTCTATCAACATAATTTCACTACAACGCGTATAACGCATACTCGTACCCACTCTAACTTCCTAGTTATTTAATGAATCAATTATCATCACGTTATAATATGTAAGTACCACTATATGTAATAATTTGTTCACCTTTAGCCACTGAGGACCAAATGTTAATGTTCTTGCACAACCGCCGATATGCTAAGTCATCTAATTTCGGTTCAACGTGGTAATCTGATCTCGAACTTCTCGAAGCGAAGAGAAGAAAGCAATCTGAATAATTTTGCCGCAAAGTACTAAGGTAGATTTATAGTCATAGGTTGTATTGAGTCATACCTAGTAGGTGTAGGTACAGGATTTTCTAATTTCCTTTTATTTCATGTTTTTTTTTCCATTATAAAGTACCAAATTAAAGTGTTAAATGTGTAAGTACAAAACCAAAAATGATGATGTAGAGCAGGGGTGGCCAACCGGTCGATCGAAAAAATACTACAAGATTGTGTACTAAACTAAGCTGTTTCATTTAAGATTTCAAGAAATATGTACCTAAGTGATAGATCGCCCAGAGTTTCGTTAGTAAACAGTAGATCTTATGTCTAATGAAGTTGGCCACCCCTGATGTAGAGTCTCGTTCAATTGATAGAAATGCTGTCACCTTAAACCTTTGCTCATCAATCATATACTAAGAAGTTATGATGTTGGGCATTATTCATTTATGACACGGACAGTAGGTAGTATACATATTAAAACTTAATAAATACGAGTTCAAAAAAAGTTTAAATAAATTTATCTAAAATCTTGAAAATGAGGTTTTGAAATATTTTTATATAATGAAGTCTATGATTAATATCACAATGAAATTGCATAATTTTGGGTAAATGCTTACAATTAACGTAATTGTTATGCATATTCAAATAAAATAAACATTACGTTTTAACTATATTTACCTACCTAACTCTTTATAAAATCCAAGGCAAGGTTACCTTGATTAACGCATTTTGTATTTCTCAAAGAAACATAATGGCACCATCGCGGCATCGTCTCCAAATTAGTGCTATAAAATTTCGCATCATTTTCGAAAGTGATGACTTCAAAATTTGTTCAGATTCGTTAGGAAGAGCCTGCGACGAAATCGGCAAGTTCCGTTATTATCAAGACTATAAATCACATTCCTTGCAGGTTATTGTTACATATAATTGTGATAGATGGACTTTCTGCCATTCAAGTTGGAATGTCCGGTGACATTAAAATGAGTCTTCTAAAATATATTGTTGCGCAAGCTGACTAAAGAGTCATAAAGATGCAGCACATTTAAACTTATTAAAATGCACAGAATTGTTCTCGTACAATCGCGAATTTTTATATTTATTGTTATGTCATAACATGTCTCCTACTCGAATGGAATGTTTATGGAAATAAGTGCCGATAATGAAACATACTCGTCTGAAGAAATGGGAGAGTGGAGTTGGTAGAGTTTGCAAACAACTTATTAAATGCAGAAATAAAAACAGTAACCCTTTACTAGGCACCTAGTACTACTAGGCACTACTTTATTGAAAAAGAATTTCTACGTCAAGCCAAATAAAATGTAAGGTTCTTATAGTTCATGTACTTCATGTACATAAAAACAAACAATGCGGTTTTTCTAAGCAGTTGCACAATATTTTGAGTTTATTTGACATTTATGATACTTAAGTACACAAAGCATTTCGCAAAGAAAAACTGGTGTCGTCGCAGGTCGCAGGATTATGTCACGCGTGTGGGTGCGCGCGCGCCGTATTGATTTTGACATTCGTCGAGGCTCAGAGCCATCTCCGTGACTTACTTGAGAGGTGAAAGTGCGCTATTATATAGAGGTACGAATATCACATAGGCGGTTTTGCAACTAGTAGCCGGGGGCACCCTGTCATCCGCTAATTTAAATAATTACCTGTTTAATAATGCTTTTCATTTTATCACGATTGAGCCAGGTATAGAATTGAATTGTCTTAGCGCGTGTTTATGATTAATTGTAATGTTTATTTAAACACCACGTTGGGCACCACATTTGTAGACATATCGTCGATTTTTTTTGTGTAAATAAATAACGTGGTTTATTTACATTTGACTGAAAGTTGATCACATACATGTAATCATGGTCTAGAACTGTCTGTACCTACCATACCTACAATAAATAATATTATGCTCTGCATAATATTACATGGACATTTAATAGGTATACTCGTACTATCTAACACTTCAGTGTTAATGTTTTTGAATACATAGCAGAATATTACGTAAATCAAACACGTCCACATGCCCATAACAATTCGAAATGCTAGATTAACCATGTAATATTGTAAACAATTGCAATAGACCATATCCAATTATGGAAGACCTCTTAACCTTTCTGTTATCGAAAATGTTAGCATACGCATTCACCATACATAATTACTGGATAGTGATCAGGAATCAAAAACAGTTTTTATAAGGCTTAATCGCCTCGGAATTAAAAACTTACCTCCATGAAAGAAATCAAAACAAAACCATTTTTACAGAAAGGCCAAATTAAAAAATACTCGTAATTCTATAAAAAATCATCCATCCATCAATCATTATAAAGTTTAATTTAAAGAGAATGAGAAAAGTGACCATTTCAATAGGACCGACGGCCGGTTGTTGATCTAAGTACAAAAGGCTCGTGCTCACGATACGGATTGTGATAGTAGAACTAAACAATAGCTTCAACCAACAATATGATTAATTATCAGTATTAGTGGATTGATAAGTACAAGGCATTGTCATAAACAGGTAGTTGTATAATCATAGCATACGATCACTCTAATGTGATGCATTGTTAATAGCTTGTTCTACAATGTAAGGGCAGAGAGTTAATGGGTGCGGATAGTGTAAGCATTATTTAATTATGTAGGTACACCTCAAGAACATGTACCTATCGCTATCGAATATTTTGATTTAATTTCGAAATTAACATGCCTCTAAAACGTAACATTTTCTAACTTGTAGCTATTTCGAAGGCAATTTAGTCCACACGCAACTGCGGACATACTAATTATTATCGTACATTTTATAAAATGGCGTTACGAATATATTATTTTTCTGCCTGACGACATTTTACACGACCAGGCAAAATCGAGTCTCATCTAAACAATGAGATTCGTTTAGTGCATCCAGTCCCATGACGACTACGACCTAATTACGAAACTATTCGCGAAACTTATCGCAGTTTCTAGATCTAACACAGGCGGTTAGCAAGATGTAATGGGAATAAAGGTTTACATATTCTTAAAATACGAGGTATCATCTTTCACGTAGAGCCAGGGGGAGACGATACTAGTTGTGCAATCGACTCGTAAGAAAACAGTCATTGTTCCACATTACACAAACAATGTAACCGAACGCGTCTAAAAACATTAAGATCGTGGAAACATGGAAGTGCAGCTGTAGCAATCGTACAGAGATCGCTCGGGGCGCTGGCGCCGGCTATGCACGCAAAGTTGGGAAAAAAGTTTATATTTTAATGGCATATAATCGAGATGGAATGTTAAGGTTTTTCAATGTAGACTTCAATGATTCATTTCTTTAGGGTTATATTGTTTTTCAGTGTTTTTATTAAATTTTAATCTTATAAAAAAATACCTAAATCCGAAAGAGTACCTACTCTATTGTTAATATTGGCACTAAAGCTAGGTACGTAGCATACGTATGTCTATCTTTAATGAGTCTTCTTTATTATTTTCAGGTGTTGGCGTTAATCTCCGTTGCCTTGCTGTCAATAGCGACGCAGGCGCAAGAACAAACTACCGATATAATTAACGACAAAATTAACAACATAGATGAGAAACCCTCTGTAAGGCTTGATCCATACATTAGAAAAGCTCTACTGAAGGCGTTAAGCGAACTAGAAGAAAGCGAAAACTTAACTACTGGTGCAGACACGACGGAGGAATCATCTACGGTGGATTCCTCGTTTTTCAGAACACAAGAGCAACCATCAGAAACTCTCCAACCCCCAGAACAAAAAGAAGAAATACAAATTCATTCATTCGTCGTAAACGGACAAGCGGCCTTCGCTAACTCTACGAATGTAACACCGACATTAATAGATAATAAAATATCAATTTTAAGCACAACTGCTGGAAATGTTGAGAATCATGTGACAGCAACTCTCCCGACACAATCTACGTTTAGTGAAATTTTCCAGACAAGGGAAAGCGGCGTTAACGTTCAGCAAGTGCGAAGTATTCAAAGTACGCCTAAAGGCAGTAGTGAAGCCAACAAAATATCTACCTCAAAGCCAGTGCCAAGGCCAACCACCACCACGACGACGACCACCACCACGACCACCACGACCACGCCCAAACCGACGCACAATGATGATGGCGAAAATATTGAGGAGGTCGACAAAAGGGACGTTCAAGTATTTCAAGCTCCCTTAGTAGCCGCTTTTACTGTCCATCAAGATGCGCAGGGACTACCGAAGAAAGTAATACCGATATTCCAGCAAACGAGCGGTCAAGATCCATTAAAATCATTGTCTGCTACAAGTCTGCCCTCTGAAATAGTTCCTCAACAATTTAATCGTCATACTCTACCACATCTAAATGTTAATAATGTACAACAACCAGACTTTATCGGCCAGCAATTGACACTTCAGAAACAATTGGAAGAAAAACAGAGAATTCTTGAAGAACAGCTCCGGTTACTTCAGCTTCAGCAAAGACAGCAAGAAGAATTGTTACGAAAACAACAATTTCTTTTGCAGCAGAAAGAAATTCAAAGACAGCAACAGTTGCTATTTAATCAAGACCAATTAAAAAGGCAACAACTACTCGCTGACCAACAAAAACTTCAAGCTAACAATTTGGATAATAATAACTTCCAGTTACAAGGACTGCAGAAAACTTCCCAGCAAAACCAATTTTTAAACCAAAATGTTATTCGACCTCAAAACGCACAAGTTACAATTCAACCGAGTGTATCCTTAGAACAAAATAATTTAGTAGCAAATCAACAACAATTACCTAACCGTGAAGCAGTTGACTTTTTAATTCATTTACGCAGTCAGCAACCAGTTCAGTTTCCATTGCAAGAAAATCATCTACCACAAGGAATAAGCAACTTTTTACAGCCAAACACCATCCAAAATTTTCATCAAGGACCAAATTCAAATCAATTGAGACCCTTAGCTGACCCGTTCGGGCAGAAGCAAGGTCACCGTGTTTTCCGTCAAGAGAGTGGAGTCGGTAACTTTGGTTTCAATAATAACAATAATAATCAAAATTACAACCGATTTAATACCTTCAATCCTATAACTTCGAACCGTTTTTTTCCTTCAAATAGAGCAAATCAGTTCAACCCGGACTCAGAGTTAAAACAGCTGCTAGTTCAAACAGGACTTAATGGCAGAAGCCATGAAGATTTAAACATAGTCACCAAAGTTCTTTCTCTAAACCACGGGATTCCGTTAAACAACAATGTTTCTAATAGACTGCCTTTTGATAGCCGGAGACATGTTAGAGAAACTACATCATAGAGTACATTTTGTAAATCAATATTTACATTAATCGAATTACTTACAGGTTTAAAATTGGGTTGAGTGTTTGAAAACATCATAGTTAGGTACTTAATTATTACTTGCCTACTTGAGTACTAGGTACTAAAGTAAGTTAGTAATGAATAAAATAGTACTTGTTACTTTTTAAGGTCCAATACTCATTGATTCCACAATACTTATCATTTTTAATACAATTCAATAGACATGTTAACCAAAGAAATCCCAGAAACGTAAATTGCACATACATTTCCGATTTAGATTTATGTTTTTGTAGATTTAAAATAATTTATTTATTTTATTATAATAGTAATTACGAACTGCCATAAGTAGTAATTGTTAGGTATTAATTACACATTAAAATAGGGTTGATGTTTCTACGAGTAGTGCTATGTGAATACGAAATAGAAATTTGGTTTTCAATTAAAGCAATGAAAATCATTACGCTCAATATTTGAAAAGAAACTTGTCTTTTTGGATGTACTCGTAAGTTTAGATACAAGAGTATTTCCATTAATGACATCTTTTAAACTCTGGGTGCCTGAAACATTTGCTGTTACAGAATTCAATACCTTTTAGGAATACTTGAGTTAAGAGTACCTACTTATGGAAAATTTTCATTTCGTTTTAGTCCGGCAATGCATTTTATTTAATTTCTTAACCGTGGACGATTCAAAACATTATTAATTGACTATAATATCCAATCGGTCTGAGATTAAGTAGGTATAATAACTGACGTAGAGATAGTGTTTTTTTACATTAACTAAGTAACCCCCTTACAAAAGTTACACCCGGGATGAACACTGGAATGAGATTACATTTTCATAATATATGACAATAATTTAGACCAGAGTTCAACTAGGGTGTCACTTTTATTAATAAGGGTGTTTTTGAGTAAACTATTGTTTTCGTTTTGTATTCTTCAATTTGAACATTACAAATGTAGACAATATAGTATTACATAAGTATAGAGACACGTAGATATTTTTAAACTTGTTGAAATAGAAACAACTGCAGTCATTGATTTATTAGGTATTGTAAACATTAACCTGCCTATTCTTAAGTTTGTAAATAAATATTTTCATATAATGTTTTTTATTTATTTATTCTCTGGTATTCTTCCTTCCTGCCTACCACCTACCTCTAGAATAGAAATCTATTACAAAACAAACTCACCTCACCTGCCCTCACAGGTTGGCGAGTGTTAAGTTCGTATTGTGATGTTATTGCCAGTATATCTAAATCACCTAAATCTACACTGGCGCCAACCTCTAATCCATATCTGTGGCGCCAACCACAAAATATAACAGAAGACAANACTGTTTTCTGTATCACAACACCACGACTCGACGCCATTTTTCTTGTTTTGATTAGCAGCGCCTCTCGTGGTAAGAAAAAGAACTAAATACTTCAATTTGCCGCGGCATTTTGTAAACAGCAATTGAATTGGCTATCAAATGTTTTGGCATATTATAAAGTGCCCAGGCAATTTACATTTTGACTTCGGCATTTCATAGAGCAGCGAGCGTTTGTGAACTGACGACGCCGTTTGTAAAATGCGGAATCATACAATTTGCCTGCGACACATACATGAGTTTACCTTCTGTTATATTTTGTGCGCCAACCGTGTTTGAAACAATAGCCCTCCTACTTCAGTACATACTCACCAGCTGGCGCTACTGTCTTATCCACATCTCACCGGTTTCCAACTTTCCACCGAGGCGGAGCGGAGCGGAGAATTGTTTTGAACAACCAATCAGATGTAATGATAGCCGTAAATAATGTGCGAGCCTTGCGAGAAACAGCTTGTCGAAGATCAGAACAAAAGATTCTTGACTTTTTAAATTCTGTTGACTTTTCGATTAGAAGCACAAATTTTCTTTCTTTCTTTAATCGAATCATATTTCTACCGCACTATTTAAAAAAGATCTCTAATCTGTGGCATAGCGTTCTTCTCTATTATTCCGTTTTGAACTAAAATCGTTTATTGCCAATTTACCAATTGGTTTAAAAAGTTACTGACACGTAAAATAGAGGTATATTAAGTATAAAGTTATTAATATTTGACGCAATTTTAAATTTTAGTGGCACTTTACTGTCTTTTTCCTTCATAAAACGCTAGTAGTACACGTCAAAACGCTATGAGGAAAAATAAGAACATGCTATTCGGACCACTCATCTGTGATTCGGACCAAGTGAGAACTGTCAGTTTGGCTTTGACTGTGTCAATGTCAGTCAGCGGCAGAGTTTGTTCGTGTGCGTCTGTTGATGATTCCGCAAGGACTGAGTTTTTCATAATATACTATAATTACTGCAAGATTTATTGAAATATCTATTTACTTGCATCAAATGAAGCCCATTTAACAGATTGATTCATCTATCGAACAGCTCTGTCACATAATTACTATGGTGATCATGGAAAACATTGAGAATGTTGGTTCATTGGAAGAGCAAGCTTTAAAACGTAAAGAAAGACTAAAAAATTTAAAGCGAAAAGCTCCTAGCAATGAAAATACAGGTTCTGAATCTACTGAAGTTGTAACTTTGCCCAAGTAAGTTTGAAAAGAATACTTTAATTACTTAAATAAACTCTCTAGCAATGTTAATAAATGTGCTTTATTTTAATAAATTAATGTTACAGGCCTAAGTTTCGTAGCTATAAACCTCAAGATGAGTTGTTGCAGGAGGCCAAACTAGAAGAAGCTCAGCCCACACTTGTAGAAGATGAGGTTAAGGACCTGCTTGAAGCGGGGAAAGAAAAGGTAGGGTAATTGCGCCGGTTTTCCGTCCAGCTCCTGTTTTCGTCCATTTGACCGACTTGCCACAAACAAATACGGAAAATTAGAATACAAACCTAACTTTCCGTGCAAGTTTGCACTTGTTACAATCTATAATATCTAAGTAACAGTTCTGCCTGCATGAAAATGTAATTTGACAAGTAATAACTCCAAAAAAATCTACGGAAGTTGCTGTTGCACACAGGTAAATGGAAAACGTCGTCAAGTTAGAAAAAAAACGTGCCGGTAGGGAACTTTCATGGTATGTTTAATTACTGTTTTAGCTACTTTACGTAATGTTTTTGGCACGTATGTCTAATTATTAGCATAATAAACACTATTTTAAGGGTTTATTAAAGTTTTTGTATAGAAATCTTAGATAATTAAGTGGACTAATACTAGCATAACAATTTTGCAAGATTTTGGTTTTCGTCCACGTGGACGGAAACCCTGACACCTAGTTAATATTTTTAATAATCATTTTACTTCAATGGACCTACAAAATACAATGTTTTTTCTTCCAATATGATCTTTATTGCTATTACATTAAACATTTTAGTTTACGTCCACTTTTTAACAGTGATAAACCCATAAAAACCGTTAAAAAGATGTGGACGAAAACAAAAAACAGCTTTAAACGTTGTTGTGTTTTCGTCCATGACGTCATGAGCAAGCACTGGGGTGGACGAAAACCAAAATTAGCTATTCCTGTAGATTAGTTTTCGTCCATTTGTCCTTCGACCTATTGCAATATTTTCCTAAATTTAGGTAAGAAACTTATTTAAATCTTTTTGATATCATTTGAAAGCTAACAAAATTACCTTTCAAATGATATACCACAATCCATAGTTACTGTATTGTAGAATTGGTTTTAAGTTAATAATTCAACTGCACCCTTTTTTCTACACAGTGGTCGAAATCTAGCGTACACTAGGACGAAAACTGATTTTTTTGGACGAAAACTAGTGAAATCGCCTCTTTTGCATAAAATATTTTTTATAAAAAAACCCGTGGTATTTACTTATTGTCATATAATATTAACGTAAAGTAGACTATATAAGGACTAAAATGACATATGATACATATGAGTAAAGGTATTTTAAGATATTCATTTCGCATCACAAAGTTGGCAACTCCGATAATTGGACGAAAACTAGCGCACTTACCCTAGTGTGTTATTAATTACCTAACTAAATAAAATTCTGTTCTATTCTAACCTAACCATTCTATCTATTTTTAAAAAGAATAGCTGCAATTTCCTAATTCATGTTGTACACAAATCTTAGTCTGGGATTTGGATGTCTATTTGATTATATTTCTATTCCAAGGTTATCTCCAGTCCATTATATGTTAGCTGTATCAATCAAGACAGTTGTATCACACATGCAACTGATAATACACTTTGCTATTAGACTAAAAAGCTCTGTTTCTTTTACCATATTTTGTGAACTATGAATAAGTTATCCATTTCAGCCCCCATAGACAAGTTGCACTTTTTGATAGAATCAAAAATCAAATCTGTCAAAACTCCATACAAAAAAGGCCTTTGACTAGTTTTCAATTATAATGTGCACTCTGTCTTCACCCACTGAGATGTTTTATGTTCTATACATTCTTATGACATGAAATGATGTATCATTACAGGTTGTGCTGCAAGATTTAGATATATCCAGTTTAGCTCCTAGAAAACCAGATTGGGATCTCAAGAGGGACGTCTCTAAAAAGTTAGAGAAACTTGAAAGGAGAACACAGAAGGCAATAGCAGAGTTAATTTGGGAGAGGTTGAAGGAAGGGGGAGAAGACAACTTGGGGGCCATGGTCTCTATGACTGAGAATAGGCCCACAGACGATGATTGATATAGCATACAAGGTTTGGAGTTTGTTACATGTTTTTATAAATAATTCTGATCATATTTACTATGTAAATGCAAGTAGGTGTAAGTAATAATAAAAAAAGAAATTGCAATTTATTGTTTAAATCTTTCCAATCAATCCTATTTTTTTAATGTTTTATCAATCAAATGCAGATATTTTTAATATAACATTTAATATCACAGTATTTAACGTTTTAATTATATTATTACATAAATAAATGTCAGTCTGTATACAATATTATGTTTAAACACATTTGTCAGCATTAAACCTTGCTGCTTCACAGTTAAGGTTAGTAAGTATGCCCACTATACATTTGGGTTAAATCTTTGACAACTTAAAGTATTGTGTCAAGATTTTTTTGTTATACAGGGTGGCCAAAACAGTGAGGTCTAAAAGAAAAATTTAGATTCCTTACATCAAGGTGTACCTAAATCACCCCCATGTATGTAATACGATTGTGCTTAGTTTAGGAGATAGAGTTAATTTTGTGATATTTTAAAATTTTATGACCTAGTAGGCTTTAAACATTTTTATCTTTTTTTTGGGTTGACTTTTTTCAGATTTCTTTTTTTAGACAGATTTGTTATTAATTGCAGATGTTTGAAAAAAATAATCACCTTTCTATCTTTGATTCAAGATACAAAAGTTTTGCTAGAAACATTAAAATTATGCTTTTATCAGAACACTATCAAATTTTCAACTTAAAAGTTTAAGTAAAAAAAAGAACTTCCATAGGTCCAAAACCATTTTAAAAACTGCGCTAAATCTGTTCTACGTAATGTAAACTTAGAGGATTCCCAATATTAATTCACTCTAAGAAAGTCAAAAACATGTAACGGAATCTCCGACTTACCACTTTAGTGGACCGATTACAGGAAATAGTGGCCTATTAAGTACATGTTTTTTTGTATTATTATGAAAGTTCAGGAAATGGCGCAGTTTTTAAAATAGTTTTGGACCTATGGAAGTTCTTATTTTTACTTAAACTTTTAAGTTGAAAATTTGATAGTGTTCTGATAAAATCATAATGTTAATGTTTCTAGCAAAACTTTTGTATCTTGAATCAAAGATAGGAAGGTGATTATTTTTTTCAAACATCTGCAATTTATAACAAATTTGTCGAAAAAAAGAAATCTGAAAAAAGTCAACCCAAAAAAAAGATAAAAATGTTTAAAGCCTACTGGGTCATAAAATTTTAAAATGTCACAAAATTAACTCTATCTCCTAAACTAAGCACAATCGTATAATGTACATGGGGGTGATTTAGGTACACCTTGATGTAAGGAATCTAAATTTTTCTTTTAGACCTCACTGTTTTGGCCACCCTGTATTATCAAAAACATCTATTTAGAAACAATTTCTAAGCAAACCAATATCTTTGTGCCAGCTGTCATGAAATAAAACAACAATGTGAATTTGTTAGCAGGCGCTTTCGGGAATACCTAGCATTAATTTGGTATAAATAAACAAAATGTGATAATAATTAATACGGATATTACACTACATAATTGATTTGGCAAACTTAAAACAGCTCTCAGCCAGGGTATTAAATATCATTAACTACAAAAGGGCAATCTTTATAAATAACATAGTAGAGCTAACGTAAGCATAAGTATGCTTTCGCGTGGGATATTAGTAAAGGCGTTGTTGTGTCCGTGTTTTCGCCGCGACGGTTTAGAGGTGGTGGCATCTTGGTCGTCGGGGTCGTCTAATTCGTTGTAGCTGAAGTAGTTGTTATCAATATTGTAGAATACCACCCGGTCGCCGATCGGTTGAATGGGCCTGAAGTTGTGCGTTATCTTGCCGTGGGTGGACTTCAGTTCCCTGAATGCTTCTATCTGTAAATGTTAGAAACAAAGGCATTGGTCAAGTAATTTTTGTATCAATTACGTTTGTCATTGGTTTATTAGTATATCTGTTAATCAGAGCTCAAAATACGGCTTTTCTAGTTTCTGAAATACCTACCAAGTCTTAACAGAAAAACATGATCGTCTGCAAAGTAGCAGGTAATTGATATCTAAATAAATACCTACATGTTATTGTAGGTAGGAGGATTCAATCAATCATGTGGTGTTCCACATGATTGATTGAATCCTCAAGTTTCGAGATGTTTTATCTTCTTATTAAGTATCTTACGTGTAACATTGGTCTACATACATAAGTAAGTTGCGAAGACACTCGTAAAGCAATATCGATGAGAAATCAATCATGAATGACCTCCAAATATTCCACAAAAAGCTATAGAGGACGAAGTCTTAAACAACATCGTCGACCTTTAGTTGAAGGCTTCTGAACTACAAATGATTGTAAAAACTGTAGCAAAGAATCTTCCAATCTGTGTAGGTAAATCCTTGTTGAAGAATGTTTAAGAATAAAGGTCATAGCACACTTATCAACCCGGAAAGGGATCAACACCGTATCGCCTTTCGCCGCGGGGCGAGGCGTTTACGTTACGGTGCAGTTTCATACAAGCAATAATGACTGCTTCGAGTTGATACAGTTACGTTCCGTTTCCGGGTTGATAAGTGTGCTTCGTCCGTTATTTACCTGATCATGGGCCAGTCTTATAGGTTGCTCGAAGTCCAGCCAGATGACCACTTCGGAACAAGGCGGCGTGGTCAGCGAGCCTCGGTACGTGAAGTACCTCCGCAGGTCGTAGGGCAGGATGTTCAGGAACGAGAAAGGATTGTTCATGATCACGGTAGTGTGCGGCTCCGTAACGTTTTCGAGGGCTGACGTGATCTCGTCATATGCCGGGTGTAGGTGTCGATCCAGCTGGAATTAGTAAAAAAATGAATTTACTTACGTAAATTGATAAAAGAATAATTTACATGTAAAGGTGGAATTCATGCGGGTGAAAATAGAGACATTAAAAATAAAATACTACTAACTCGTTAAGTTCTTTTGATAACTAACGACTGAATTTAACCGCAAGAAACCGCAGAGCTGTACAATTGCGGGCAAAATTATGATCCAAAGAAATCGGTGAAGATTTGTGGTTTTTCTGTTTGTTTGAAAGTTACCTCATAAAAGAAAGCCAGCACTGTCAAGCCATCTGGGTGTAGAACAGCTTCCTTCATGTTATTGTACTCTTCTTTGAAGAACACCATGTGCAACTCCATTGGGAAACTAAAGAAAAAATTATAGTGTTTACCACAACGTTAACTTTAAAGTAAGTATTAGGTGTTCTGTGGTCAATTAGTCACGTCTGTAATTTTCACATTAAAAATATTAACCACTAACTCGACAATAACGATCCAGTAAGTGCACTCAAGGATGTTTTTTGGCATCATAATGAATACGCTTCGGCGAGTAATTCGGGTGTTTGACCCATGGTTGAGGCATCAAGGAGATTTTTTGTTGCACGTACAGTGAAGTGCTAAGTTGCTTAATATATTTTTTACCCGTGATAATAAAGGGTAAGGCAAAATGTGACTTCTTTTGGTGCCGATGCCGCGATGGCTGTACCAGTTTATTTGGACTTTTTATGTCCTGGTTACAAAAAAACCACTGACCGGTGTAACCAAGTCCTGTTCACCTTTGCTTGTTTGGAATGTCGTTCTAAACGAAAACTTAAAAAAAATGATAATATAACATCATACTTACGAGTATAATGAAGTAAGTTTTATATTACATAATGTAGGTACAAGTTTATCCAAATATATGTATAACTCGAAAGGTGACTGACTGACTTAAGTCATCTATCAACGCACAGCCCAAAAGTCGCAGGCGGCCGCTAGTTTTCGTTTCAGCCAAATGACGTCCACTGCTGGATAAAGGCCTCCCCCAAGGTTTTCCACAATGAACGGTCCTGCGCTGCCCGCATCCAGGCCGCTAGTTTAATACATATTAATGCAATAATTTGAGAGGGGGTTTGCCGCGAAGATGGGCTAAGCTATATTTGGGCGCACCAGCGCCGCCAAGACAGGAGACAAAGTAGTCTGTCGGATTAATCATCATCATCATCGTGGTCCTTTATGATCTTACCTTCTATGGTTGATCTTGTCTTCCGAGCCGAAGGTGTCGTTGTCTCCCCAGTGGAAGTGCATTTGGCTGAAAATGTAGTCGCCTTCTAGAGGACCCCCGCGGACGCGAGGATGTGGCTCATTCTCCACCTCTATCAGCACTGGAGACAGAGAAATCAGATATCAGTTAGGTGCAATTTTTTAAGATACTAGCGGTCCGCCCCGGCTTCGCCCGTGGTACATCATAGCCTATAGCACTCAAGAGATCGCGTACGTAACCAACAGTGAAAGAATTTTTGAAATCGGTCCAGTAGTTAATGAGATTAGCGCGTTCAAACAAACAACCTATTCAGCTTTATAATATCAGCAGTATAGATATAGATTTCTTCCATAAGTCTAACCTTCTTACCCATTGTATTTAGTGCACATGTTTTAACCGCTATAAACAAAATATATTACTTCTTGTACAAAGATAAATGAGAGCACCATTTAAGTAACTTGATCTAAATACAGGTTATAGTTTCGCATTACAAAAACTATTTAAAAAAAACTCATTATGCTTGGCGAATATCGCGTAAGTCCTGCTGACAAAAAACTTTAAATCCGCATTCGTCACTTAATTTATTATGATTAGTAAAGATTATATTAATATCCTTTCGACGCGGAACAACTATAAAAGGTAGTATGTATGTATCATGTTTTTATAAATGTGTTTTCCCATAAGTACTCAAAACACGAGCAAAAAAGTAAACATGAGTAAAAGTGCTTTATCACCTCTCTTCTTGAGGCGGATGCGGACTTAATATAGGTACCCTTTTCTTGAATAAGTAGGTATGCCTTGTCTTTAATTAAATGAAAAAAGTTAAATATTATGATAAAAATCAACACAAACCTACTTCAATTTGTTATCACAGATAAATTCTCTCAAAGGAAGCAATTGGATATTTCGGTGCCAATGTTATTGGGCTTAAATTATTTTTTTAGAAAGATTGAAAAAAGAGACGATCAGTTTCTATCGCGTTTAGGCGATTATCACACTGCGCCGCGCTCCGCCGCGGTACGCGGGATGACAGATTTAATCATTGTATGCAAGTATCTCAGTTTGTATAGAAAACACGCGCGGCACAACACACTGACAACGCGTCCGCGCGCGGGATTTCTTATATGAAATCACGCGGATCGCGGCAAAGTGTGATAACCGCCTTACTATGGTGTTAAAAAAGAACTACCAACCCGTATGTCCATTATTGGTGACATGCACTCCGTCGATAGAGTCATCGAAGCCGACGAAGACGATGTCAGGCAGCGTGACCTGCTTGACGCGGAGCACGTTGATGTTGATCGGGCTCTGGTGCTTGCCCGCGCACTCCCGGTAACGCTCGCCCCAGTGGTTTGGTCCTGGAAATATTTTGGAAAAAATACTCGTAGAAAACCCGTAAAAAAGTAACCCTAAGGCCCAGAACAGACGGTGAAACGCACCTGCAACGAAACTGCAACTTTCTGATGATTCTGATGAATGAAACTGAAACTGAAAGTTGAAGACTGGTCGCGTCATGTGTGGTGTCTCAACGGACGCTATGACAGAAACTTAGATGCAACTCAAAAGTAACTAGCAGTTGCAGTTTCGTTGCAGTTGCGTTTCACCGTCTGTTCTGGGCCTAAGTCTAGGCGCAGACCACCAATTTTGAGTTGGCCGATAGTTCGGCCTGATTTTAATTTAAGAAGAATCGCCCAATACGAAATCGGTGTAATGTGCGCACTTCGTATACATGCCGACACTGATTAACTGCCCGACTAAACTATCGTCGATAAAAAATCGGTAGTGTGCATCTCTAAATAACTCATGTACGTATAGTTAAGTATGTAGAGTTAAGACGTTACTTCGGACGTTAGTCTATCAACATTCTGGTATTTATAGGAATAGGATTTAATACAAAAAACCTTTGGTATGTTCTACTATAATGTTTGAAATTGTAGCTATACAATAAATTTAAAAAAATGAAATAAAGGATTATCAAAAAAATCATTTTGTAAACCTACGTATCTATTTCCGAGGTCTCTGTTTAATCACGTGGAATAAACTCTAGACATGTCGTGTCTCTTTAACTATTTATGTTACTTACCTAAACGAATGATCTATGATGCACTTAAGACCGGTTTTAATTTAATTTATTGTAAACAAGTGCTAATTGAGCGTAATACCAATGAATATTTTGTCTATAATGAATTTTCTAAATGAAAACCTACATACAGGTAGCGTACCTACTTATCTGAAATGTACTGTAATAATAATGTAATGAATGCTTAATTAGGCACTTACTGAATTTTCAGTAGATACTTAATCTATTTCAGTTAATTATTTTTTTGCTTTGGCGTCATTGACGTAAAAGGTGAAGTCACGCTTTTAAAAAACCATTGCATGGTGGATAATTTGTTTACCGAATCAATAACACACTGCATAATTTATAAGTTTGCATTAGGTGCCTATATAATAACCTTGAAAGCATTGATAATAGCTTAATTACCAGCACGTAAGTGCTTAATAAGTTTTTTAGATTTGTGTCAGATTGGTCGCACCTATAGATAGATCTATTAATTTAATACTTCTAAAAAACACAACACAATCTAAATACTGATTACTTTCTGATTGAAACACTCAAACAATGAGTTCAAGTTCAAACGTTAATTAAAAAAATAGTGTATTGAATAAACATGATGTACCTTACCTATAACTCCATCGTATCCAAAATCTTCGCCGCGCGTCAATTTTGGTGCTGAAATAAAAAAGAAACTGTTATAAAAACGGCTCTAAAATTCATAATATTGTGTTAAATTGACATTTTTAGATGACTCTATTAAACTCTAATTACAACTACCTAATGTTAAATTAAATTACGTTTCGTATCATTAAATGTAGGTATTTAAAAAACCCAAATACCTAGGTAGAGATGTTAAAACACCTTACATGCAACGTAATGACCGTTATTATAATTAACCGAGTGCAATATTTTGCTGTGCTGTGAACATCCTTCCTACGATTTGAATAGGTATCCCTTTGTATTCAGTCTAGGCCGGAACATGGCTATTACACTATCAATGATCCACAATCCACATGGAAATAGGTATTGTATGTACTTGAATAACTCGTCCGTTACACGGTTTCCGCATACAATTTCCATAAGCACCATTAACCAAGAAATTGTATAAATCAATGAGATTTAAATGCTCTTAATCGGTAATAATGTTTATGTCCGAAGCCTTGCATCGGACCTTACTCTTTAGTTCCACTTAGCTAAGTTAACAAGCATAATAATAAATTAATTACATCGTGAGATCTTTGAATCGCCTACTGGCTGCGTGATCTCACATTTTCATACGCATATCTGGAAACAATAACCGTGACACCGCGTTAATATTTATAATCAACTTGTTTTTAACTGTACATATATGGAGAAACATAAAATATAACATAAATTGGGTAAATGCATTTAAAAGTCTGTTACAATAACATATCTCTTGTAAAATTGAGCAATAAAATATTGATCATTATTACCTACTACGTCTTGAAATCATAAAAAGTTTTACCTTCGTAGCACAAAAGTATTCACCTTGCGTTTTTGACTGGAGGCCTTTTATGTCTTATTGATAGCAGTTAAATGTTTTTCGGTACCTACTAACTAATATTGTCTTCTGTATCTACAACGTATACAGTAAAAGCTATCTAAGTTGATTATTTACAAAATAAACAGAAAATTGTAAATGGTACCATTAAGTACGTGATAACTTTTAAAGGCCAAATGAAAACATTTGGTAAAACCTAAGTTGCATTCTGTAAGAGAAGTTACAAACCAAGTTACAAGTTTGAAACTGTCTTTTTTGTTTGTTCTATTTTTAGATTTATTTAATCACCTAAAATATTTTAATTTATATGTATTACTTTTTTTTGTAAGTAAGTAGTTATGGACTTAATCTATTTTATCATGATTTTATCTTATAAACTTACGCGGACAAAAACCACCACGTGATTGTGAGGACCACACTCACGATCAATCACCAACGGTTACGCAAGTGCAGAAAAAAGCGGACGTGAACATTGTCGCGATCGATCGATTGTAACAATCGGACAGCAAAAAAATAATACTCTACAGTTTATTTACTTTACTAATTATTTTTTCACCATAATCATAATTTTCACGGCTATTCGTGTACCGTAAAATGCGGCCGCTTGCAGCCGTGCAGGCAGACTGGACCGTAACGGTCGCTGACGCGTGTCAAGTTCATTGATAAAAATAAATCGATTTCGTCCATTTGCGACGACACTGTGATATATCAAAAACAGTGGTTTTCCAGAAAACGACTTTTTAACTTTTGAATGACCATAACTCTTAAAAGAAGGTTAGGATTACCTAATTGTGTATGAAACGTTTAAAGATTAACTATTAATAAATTTAAATATTTATAGTAAGACATAAATTTGCGTCTAAATTGATGAAATTATAGCGATTGAAAAAAAAAGAGACAACTTATCACATTGTTCTAGTAAAAACATAATATTTTGAAGATGGTAAGTTCAGTTGTCACGTTGAAGATGATGTAAAAAAATACCATTCAATTTCAATAACATGCATTCTGCAATAACAGAACATCAACAAATGACCTACAACATATTTCCATTATAGGAAAAATTTTCATCATCTACAACGTTACTAGTTAAGATGTCCCGATGATACTTCGATTTTCTTACAAGAATAACGTGACATATAAATAATTTCTCTTTTACTTTGCTTTTTGTTTTACAAGAACATTGTGATAAGTATGACATGCCACATTGTCGAATAAAATATTTTTTTTTTAAAAACTTACCGTTGTCATCAATACCGCGGTATCCTAGAGATGTCACGTTTTTCTTAAAAACAAAGAGCACCTCACATCTCAAAGCGCAGGTGGCAACTGAACTGTCACAGTGTCGAAGCCAACTAGATCGCCGAACGAGCCAGCGCTATAACGTAATATTTTGTTTCTTTCTCTCATAGTATTGTTGTTTTTGGAGTAACAAATACCCTGTTTTTGGAGATAAAAGAACCCAAGATCGCGGTTCAGAATTTCGGTAAAACAAAAAATCGTATATCTCGAGATGTCACAGTGTCGTCGCAAATGGGCGATTTAAATTCACAGCCTAATAATAGTTTTTTGTTCTCTATTCCAACTCCAATCGATCTGAGGGCAGTGCAGTTATTGTCTCATTAAAATGCTTTGCATTTGCTCTACTATGGTAGAGTATGTTGGTAAAACCTTGGACAGACATATTAAAACTACTTGTAATTGCTTTCATTCATGGTGGTTGGAATTAGAGACCTACTACAATGTTATATTTTTACAGGAATTAAAATAAACATTCTAGGACAGTGGTTCTTAACCTTTAAGTCACGAGGGACCATTTTACCAAATTTCTGTCTTGTCAGGGACCACTTATATTTTTTTCAAAATCCTATGAAAGGGGAGGTCGATTTCTCGCCCACTATGCGCCGTTTGCGTTGTGTTGACTCGACTCATCACGTCACGTCACTTGTTTATTACGATGTCTTCGTGGACCACTTGGAATCCCTCCAGGGACCACCAGTGGTCCGCGGACTACCAGTTAAGAACCACTGTTCTAGGATATAGGTACCTCCCACTCTAGTACCAGCACACATTAATAGTGTATTAATCCTACATTAAAGTTGATATAATTTAAAGCTGTGCATTGATTCAGATTGTAGAAGATTACAGGCGAAGTGAGGCATATAAATGTGAGGGTTTCGGTGTCATTTTGTATTGAATTAGAAATGAAGACGGATCGCGCATCGCGTGACACACGTGTACATACTGCTTATAGTGTGCCTACCCGCCGATTTATAATTCATGGCGAACTTGCAGCGATTGATAGCCCGTTTTGCAGTGACACACTGTCACACAAGAGACAGTTCCTAGAGCGATAGTGCCTATTGTACATCTTGGCTAATGAGGATGTTACGATAAAGCTTGCTACTCGCAAATTATTGTACCTTGGTCTATCTTTTTTACCAGCCATTGATTTTTTTTTAATTTTAATTAACGATCTACTTAATTTATCATGTTACGTTACTTTTGTTACTACGAGTATGTATAAACCACGTGACCTGAAATTCATAAAACATAAACTTTTTCTAGGAAACAATGCAGTTGTATTAACCAATCGACTCCTGCGTATCGAAAGCCTCATTAAAGGCTAAGGTCAATTCGATTCTGTCCCTAACCGAAGCTCGAAAGAACTTGAATTAGCAAACGCTTCACGCTGACGTTACTCAGCACATTGTTTGGGCGACAATTAGTTAAGAACAATTCGTGGAGCCTTCGGAAGCATTTCACAGTTAAGTATTTATCGCCCAAAATACCTTTAACCCATGTCGGTCATGTCCGGCAATATTCCCTTGATCGGTTTAGCCCAAAGACAATGACATAGACAATGATCGGCGGAATGGATAATGGCGGTGGAAATGTCCCGCCGTCCATGGAGAAAGTAACGACCTATTCAAACACTATTCCAAGAAACTAAACTACCTAGTTATGCGGCCTGAATTATTGATAGAAATGTCTTATTTTCTATGATGAGCTGTTATTCGTTCACGCCCCTCAACCCTTGTCAGTTAATTGTACGTCAGCTAAACCAACGTAGAAATATACTTAGGTTCGTCATTATGGATTCCAGAAATGCTTAACGCCAGAAAGTCACTCCTTTCAGTTTCATCAATATAATTAATTATTAAGCTTAATAAATGAAGATAATCTCCGTTTAGTGGTTTTTGAGTCCGAAAATAACCGACTCCACACACAAAAATTCTAAAATTAGCAACTAATATTATAAATGCGAAAGTAACTCTGTCTGTCTGTCTGTCTGTTACGCTTTCCCGCTTAAACCTCGCAACCGATTTTGATGAAATTTGGCATAGAGATAGTTTGAGTCCCGGGAAAGAACATAGGATAGTTTTTATCCCGGTTTTTGAAACAGGGACGCGCGCGATAAAGTTTTTCTGTGACAGACAAAATTCCACGCGGGCGAAGCCGCGGGCGGAAAGCTAGTTAGATTATATTTTGTACTCCATTGGTCCCAAATAAGACGTAACAAGACTCGTAATATTTCTCCATTCCAGTTCATGTTCAGAATCATACTTTCTAGTTTATTTTAACTGGTATGTAAATATTGAAGATTTGGTTTGTCATCATCGTCACGTATCGATCAATAAATAATTCTAATGTTCATTTTATTCGCGACCGCACCATGTATAATTTTAAAGGCACTCGCATTAATATTCTAATTGCTTAACATCTGATTATGAATGATTGATATTGTTTTGTATTAGTTGCTATTTCAAACTGAATTGTAAGCAATAAACATGCCAATATAATAAAACGTCACCAATACAAGTTTTATTAAACTTTACTAGTCACATTTGGGTTAATAATTTACTTATAAGGCGACCTATAGGCATGCAGTGTAGATCATAGCCGTATTCTAGGATTTAAAACTTTATACTGCGACAATAATCTAGTCGAACCTCTTATCAGATAAACTAATTCCAAAACAAACAATTTAAACTGATCGTGAGCGCACCGCTTTTTGACCGAAGTCCCGTTACCCGATGCACCTCGTTGCCTGATGTGAATTTAATTAGTTTCACATACCTACGTAAACCCCATGACAATGTAAAATTCAGCTGGGAATACATCTGATGATGGTGCCGGAAACCAATCATAG